TTTTCTAACTTCAGTGTGGTTGGATGAGCGTGAGCCTCATCTGCCCCCTGCATTTTCCGAGTTATCAGTTTACATCTGGTCTCAGACGCCAGTGCTGATGATGGGGACACAGATGAAAGTTTAGAAGTGGAGGCTATGAGTGTTCAGTTACTCACCCTCGCTCCTTTCTTTCCTGCTCAAGGGATGCTTGTTACTTACGGACATGGCACCTCTTCTGACTCTCCCCCTGCCCCAGAAAGGACTCCTCAAATCCCTGTTGGGTCACGTTCAGACAAGCCTTGGGGTAGAAGATATGGGCTCTGCCTGCATCTTTGTCTCTTAGTGGTCGTGGGTGGATTTGGTCCCCGGAATGAAGCTGGCAAGGCCTGTGGGCAGAATGTTCTTGATCCAAAGCCAGGCAGCTTCCTTCCCTCCGGAGGTTGAGCCCACAGCTGCCGTGAGGGGTGGCGCTCAGGATGGCACGAGCCTGTGCCAAGGCAGCGAAAACCTAACCCTGTCTCTCCTACTTCTCTGGACGTCACCTCCTTCCCCTCCAGACAAGAAGCTGGGGAAGCAAGAAATTAGACATGCCTTCTAGGAATGAGGCTCAAATTCAGGGGCAAAAAGAGAATTTGATCTGGGAGAAAAAGTTGTCCTGCCACATAATGTGATCATTCTTACTTAATGTTCATAGCATTGTGTGAGCGCCTGATTACGCGTGAGTTTGCTTGCCGTCTCCTTCTGCCTGGCAGCTCAAGAACACACAGTCCACAGGGCCACTTTCTGAGAGAGCACAGCCATGGTACTTGCTCTGGGCATCCCAACGCCTGCCATGTGGACAGGTGCCTTGGGGCCAGCAGTCTTTGAGGCAGACGAATTCAGAAGACGGCCACAGAAACAAATGTGAGGGAGCTCGAAATAGAGCTAGGAGAAAAGGCTATAGGAGCAGGACAGATCTGAAAGATGTGCTTGTTCCTCTTCATTTTCCCCAGGTTGGAACACTGGGACCCGGCACCTTATTGTGTCTCTTCTCATGCACAGTTCTGGGCTATGCAAATAACAATAGTGCACATGAATATTATATGAGTGGATGCAGCATGTATCTCTTCTACTCTTCCCTCAGAAGTATAGCCTAAAGAAGGGCAGGAGGTTCTTAGGGCATTAATAAAATCAATTAGAATTTAGGTCAATCAGCCGGGTGTAGTGTCTCATGCCTGTAATCCTAGCACTCTGGGAGGCTGAGGCAGGAGGATCGTTTGAGCTCAGGAGTTCAGGATGAGCCTGAACAAGAGCGAGACCCCACCTCTACAAAAAAATAGAAAAATTAGCCGGGCGTAGTGGCATGTGCCTGTAGTCTCAGCTACTCAGAAGGCTGAGGCAGGAGGATCGCTTGAGCCCAGGAGTTTGAGGTTGCTGTGAGCTAGGCTAACACCACTGTACTCTACCCAGAGAGACAGAGTGAGACTGTCTTGAAAAAGGAATTTAGATCAATCACAAGACACTGATAACCACACAAATGGGATGAAATGTTTGCCGAGGGTAGAGGTACTTTTGTATTACCTTAAATTACTAGAATTTTCTTTGTAGCCAAAATCTAAAAACTAGCCTAGACCATGAACAAGATAGTTACATTTCAGGGGAAAATTGAAATTCCTAGCCAGGTATGTTGGCTCTCACCTCTATTCCCAGCAGTTTGGGAGGCTGAGGTGGGAGGATTGCTTGAGGCCAGGAGTTTGAGATTAGCCTGGGCAACACAGACCCCATCTTTATAAAATATAAAATTAATCCGGGCATGATGGCACATGTCTGTAGTCCCAGCTACTCAGCAGGCTGAGCTTGTGGTATCACTTGATCCCAGGAGTCCGAGGCTTCAGTTAGCTACACCCATGCCACTGCATACCAGCCTGGACAACAGAGTGAGACCCTGTCTCAAAAAAAGAAAACCAAATTCTTCTCATATGGCAGCAGAGAAGCAGAAGGGTGCACTGTCACCAAGAATTCAGGCTGTTTGGGGAAGCCAACAGAATTCTGCCAAATGTCATAGACATGTTGTGGCTGGTCGCATGAAGCAGGAATCTCATTTCTGGTCCTAAAGGAGCACAAATATCAATCACAGTGCTCTCAAAGATACAAATGGATACATTTTGCTACACTTTTTTATATGGTCACCTCTCACCAACCATGAGGTTTACACCTCATCAAAATACTTTATCTAAGATGCAGCATCATAGCTGGCAAGATCAAGGTCTCATAAGGTACAGGCAGTTCTATAAAAATAGAACTTGTGTTATTATATGTGATTAAAATAGTATGCACAAGTTCTAGGAGGCACCCACAACCAAAATAACCACTCTTGAATCATGAGGTGACCTGTGTGTGACGCTCTTGAATTTCTGTCTTTATTGTTGGAGAACATTGCCCACATCACACGCCTCGCTCCTTTGCCTGTGCTGAGACCAGCCCCACTGGCTGGAAGTGGACAGCCCTTGGCCATCGCTTTTTCGCCAGATCTTCTTCCCTCCCTTTCACTCTCTCTCCCTCCCTCTCTCTTTCCCTCCTTTGCTTTTAAAATACAAGTCTAGGCAGTTGTGTAACTAACCTCCAGGCTCTTCACAAATTATGCAAGAGCTTAAAGGCAGGTTCTCTGGTCTTCCATCCCAGATTATCTGGGAGCCTCACTGTTAATAATCTCTTTTCCTCTCCTCCCTGCAGTTAGTACCCTGAGTCCTCTAGCAGCCTGTCACCAGAGTCTACAGGGCCAAAGAGCAACAATTCAGTATTTTCCTGTTTTACCTAAGGAGTTAGGACAAAAGTAACAAGATAGCTGATTTTATATTTTCAGTAACGAGTATAAAACAGTATTATTTCCAAACTTGAAATGAAAGATTGATGCATCCAAAATGCTAAAAATAATAATAATAATAACCCTTGCTGTCATGAGCCGTGCTGAGCAAGGGGTGGGGAAGGGAAGGTGTGGTCTGGCATTGGGGCACCAGGAGGAAGGAAAACGCGAAGATAGATATGGAAATGGATTCTTGGATAGGAGCGAATGCATTTTCAGTGAAGAATTGCATAAGACCTGCTGTATGTTTTAAAACCTCTATGTTTTCAAAGCTCAGACCAAGAAGTGGCCCAGGGGCAGCAGGAGGGGTATAGGCGGGATATAGGGGTACCACCTGGCAGGGCAGCTACACAGGGGCTCTGGCCACAGTACTGGCTAAGATTAGCTCAGCCGCCTCTGGCAGGAACACCCCAAATCACAGGCGTCAGTGAGATAGAAGATCACATAGAAGACCTGGAGGCCAGCGATGCAGGGCTGGTGTGCTGGCCCCATGGTTCTCAGGGACCCAGCCTCATTCCGGCCTCCCGCCCCGCCCCTCCTCCTGGATGGCTTCCTTCTCGTGGTCTGGGATGGTACCGAAGCTCCAGCCATCACATCTCCCCTCTGAAGTCTCACCAACACTGCAGGTTACCCTTCCTGGCCAGAATTTAGTCATGTGGCCACATGCCCAGCGAACACAGGGCTTCCAACGATTTAAGAGAGAAGGGGAGAACCTCCAGAGCTAAGAAAAGTCATTGATCTTCCGCATCTTTGAGTGTTTGCTCACTTAGTAAATCCTAAGTGCCTGGTACCAATATTTTCAGGCACTGCTTGAGGGCAGTGGGGACAAAGGTAGATGGATTTCTGTTCTCATGAAACTCACAGTCTAGCGGGAGGCAAACAGACGAGACAGGAACAACGAATGTGGCTGTGTTGCCGGCCCACATTCAGGCGTGGCTGTACGGAAGTAATGGTGGGAGCAGGCGGTGTCAGACACCTCCGCCTAAAGCCCTCGGATGTCATGACAACCAGCACCAGCGTCTCTTTGATGCAAATTCCGTTCTTCAAACACTCCTGAGCACCTACCCTGCAAAGAGAAGAGGGATAGGAAGAGGAGGGGGGAGGTAAACAGTTAGTAAGCTGGAGGCCCGCTTAGAGATCGGCCCCAGAGCCAGGGCCCCTCATGGGCCAATGTGCAGGGACACGAGGGGTGAGAGTCCCGCCCTAAAATCTCAAGTCTGTTTTTGTTTTCTTTGGTGAAGGATCTGGGCTGTTTCCTCGCTGAGGTTCAAAGCAGTCTGATAAGGAATGATTTTGTGGCTCCTGTGTGCATTTGGAGGGCAAGCTGGGGAACTTGGGAAACCCACGAGAACACAGCCTTTTCTTGCGTGTGTGACCTTCAGCGAGCGGTCCATGAGCCTGCGTGTGCTGGGAACTGGGCAGGTGTCCAGGTTCAGTTCACGTGTCGTAAGTGGGCCGGGGCTGTGCCCACCCCGAATCCCCTGCCGTGGCCACTGTGTGATGCTCTAGACCAGCGATTCTCAAGCTGTCTCCGGAGAAGGACCAGTTGGGTTTTTTTGTTTGTTGTTAAGTTGCAATTTCCAATCGGTCATAAAAATGAAATAAGGAAGACATGGAAAATGCAAACTCAGACTTATATTTTTAGATTCAAGAGACATAAAATTGCTCTAAAGCTTTCTATAGACTAACTCAATTCCTGAATTTGAGTTCGCTAGCAGCAAAGAATTCAGAGCCACTGCTACCAGCCCAAGGACTGTACCAGGGCCTCCCTGCCCCAGAGGCCCAGGATCTAAGGCCAGGCAGGAACTGCTGCCCTTTCCCGCTCTGTGCTAGGGCAGTTATGAAGCAGAATGGGGAAGGTCCCCCGGGAAGAGTAGCCTTCCCTACAGGTCTCACTGTCTCACTCATCTCTCCCCGGCCCCTCCTGCCCAGGCAACTGCTTCTTGAGTAGACTCTCCTGTTGTGGTCCCCATGTGCAGGTGAAAATTTTATTATGTGCTTGTAGCCAGAGAAATGAAAGGTCATAGCTAATTGTAATCATTATCCAGGCTCCCTACCTGAGCACAGCTTTTGGCATACACTGGTCCCATTACAGTGAAGCAGCAAGGCGCGCGGTGTCTCCAGCTGGCGTGCTGGCCGGGCCCCGCAGGGTGCGCTCACTGTCCACCCTGTGTTGCAGTTCTCCAAGGAGAGGCACGTCATGGACAGGACCCCTGAGAGGCTGAAGAAGGAGCTGGAGGAGGAGCTGCTGCTGAGCAGCGAGGACCTGCGCAGCCACGCCTGGTACCACGGCCGCATCCCCCGACAGGTACCTGGTCTCGCCCCCTCCAGCACACACCTGGCTGCTCCCAGGCGGTGTCCGGAGTGATGACCCTGCAGGGTCCCACTCTGAGCCCCTGTTTAGCCAAAAACAAATACTATAAAGTGACTTAACATAGACCCGTCTCTAAGGAGACCTTTGGAGGCACTAAGGTCAGGAACTGCAAGCGTGCTTCCGCATGCGCGGTTAGTGCGTGGAGGGAAAGCCAGTGTCCCCCAGTCGGCAGGAGGCAGCAGTGACCTGAAGTACGAGGTCGGGCTGTGGTGCAGGTAATGGAACTCTTGGCCAGCTGCCTGCAGCCTCATACCTTTGGAACTAGCATCCCTTTTAAGGCAGTGGCTTAACTTCAGGAGAAGACAGGTCATCGCAGGGGCAGGTGGCCCAGACCAACAAGGCTGCCTCTGCCCTCTCGGGGCCCGCAGTTGTTCATTCCATCCGTCCTTTCCCCACTGCGTCCTGTGACCCAGAGATGGGGCAGACACGACCACGGACTCGTGGCCTGGCATATACTCCGTGTGATTGCCATTTGGGCAATTGCCAGGAATAATGTTTTTTTACTTAATGCTATAAAAATTGAAAAATGGAATAAATCTACAGAATTGAGGTAAAGAATTTCCCTTGGGTTTTTATCAGAAACCTGTTCTGGCCAATCATTAACCAAGGACTACATGACAGGAAGTGTGTGGGCAGGAAGTGAGGGGGAGGGCATCATGTTGTGAATTATTATTATTTTTTTTTTTTAGTGTAGCAGATTTCTCCATGTGATCAAATAAATCTTATTCTGCCTTTTTTTTTTTTTAAGTTTAAAATTGATTGTCGAAAACATAGAGAGCCAAAAGATGAAAATTAAACTCTCATCCATAATTCTCCCTCCTGGGGATAACCACTGTGAACATGTTGATATACATGTTTCCTCCCAGATTTTCTAAATCAAGTGTGGCACATACTGCATGTGCTTTTTCCGTAGCCCACTCTATTCATTCAGTATGTCCTTGGAACTTTCACCTGCTATAAAGTATTCTTCTGTGCCAGCCTGCATTGTATGTGTATGCCCATGGTATACACGCACCACAATTCATCGGACATTTGGGGTGTTTCTAACACTCTGACCAGCATCCTTTCAGATAACTATTATGTTCATGCCTATAATTATTTTCACAGGCTCAATTCCAAGAAATGGAATTTCTGGGTGAAAACACATTTTTAAAGCAAAGATATAATTTTAAAGTAACTATGGTGCCCTTCTAATTTAAGCTAACGGAAGTAAACCATTGATCAAATATTGGAAGGTCCCAGAAAAAATTGTTAGAGATTTTAAAACTGACGATTGTCACTGCCATCCTTCTCCTTACTGTGATCATAAAATTTGTTTGCCACTTACACTGAGTATATAAATTTTCAGCAATAAATCACTCCAGACTGGATAACTGAACACTGTAACCATAATAATGATAGCTCACATTTTACCCCCTTATATCTTTATAGCCACTCTGTAGGTAATATTCTCGTTTTACAGATGACGTAACTGAGCTACAAAGAGATTATGTAACTTGTGCAAAGTCAGAGAGCTGAGCCAGGATGCAAACCCAGGCAGCCCCAGGAACCACTAGGGGTCCACTAGGGGTTACACTAGTGGTTTACACCACAGTGTAAATTCTCCTTTTTTTTTCCTTTTCTTGGGGGAGAGTTTAGGGTTTTTGTTTATTTATTTGTTTGTTTGCTTGAGACAGAGTCTCACTCTGTTGCCCCAGCTAGAGTGCAGTGGTATCATCATAGCTCACAGCAGCCTCACACTCCTGGGCTTAAGCAATCCTCCTGCCTCAGCCTCCCAACTAGCTGGAACTACAGGTGTGCACCACCACACCCAGCTAATTTTTCTATTTTGTGTAGAGACAGGGTCTCATTCTTGCTCAGGCTGGTCTTGAACTCCTAGCCTCCAGCAATCCTCCTGCCTCGGCCTCCCAAAGTGCTAAGATTACAAGCATGAGCCACTGAGCCTGGCCTAAATTCTCCTTTTACTATTAGCATCACCATCATCACAGTTAACTGTTTTTGAGCATCTACTGTATTCCAGGCACTGTACTAGTGCTTCGCAGATATAATAACTGTGAGATGAGGGACTCCAGCCTGCCTTTGTTCTAGTCCTTCTATCCAGGAATTGATGTGCCCAGAATCTACACACACCTCTGGTTCCACAGTCCTGCACGGTGCCCCTCCTTCCCACTGGCTGGGCCTAGAGAGGGGCGTCTTAGGAGAGGGCTCTGAGGGTGACTTCTGGCATCCTGCCAACACACACCTTCCTTCTCCTCACTCCACTTGTTGGGGAGGAAACTCAGACCCTCCAGGCACACATTTTCTCATCTCTTATTTTCCGTCACTTTACATCCTTTGAGTCTACGCGAACATCATCTTCTCGGGACACCTCCCTGACCATGCCATTTTAAAGGACAGCCCTCATCCCCTCCCGAACACGATCTCCCATCTTGATTTAGTTTTTCCTTAACTTTATAACATCGGATGCACCATAGCTGTCATTTATTTATCTTCACTAAAATAGAAGCTTTCCACTAAAAGTGGGAGCTCCACGAGGTGGGCTCTGGCCTGCTCCCGTCCCTGCTGCAGCCCCAGTGCCCGCAGTGGCGCCTGGCACGTCATACGCACAGGGTCAGTGAGTAGCTCTCGGGTGGACGTTGGATCTTCTACGCAGTCGACCTTTGAACAACTAAAGAGCCGACTGAAGAAGAGCCGTAATACCATTGTCATCTGTGGGCAGCAGTAAGCCTTTAAAAGGAATGTGAGTTTGCCTTTCCTGCTCCTCACTCACCATTTTGTCCCAAAGGTGTCCGAAAACCTCGTGCAGCGAGATGGCGACTTTCTGGTCCGAGACTCTCTGTCCAGCCCCGGGAACTTTGTCCTGACCTGTCAGTGGAAGAACCTCGCTCAGCACTTCAAGATCCACCGGACGGTTCTGCGGCTCAGCGAGGCCTACAGCCGCGTGCAGTACCAGTTCGAAATGGAGAGCTTCGACTCCATCCCCGGCCTGGTGCGCTGCTACGTGGGCAACCGCCGGCCCGTCTCCCAGCAGAGCGGCGCCATCATCTTCCAGCCCGTCAACAGGACGGTGCCCCTGCGGTGCCTGGAGGAGCGCTACGGCACCTCCCCGGGCCGGGCCCGGGAGGGCAGCCTCGCCGAGGGCAGGCCAGATGTGACCAAGAGGCTGAGCTTCACCATGGGCAGCGCCCAGGCCCGGGAGCAGAACTTGCCCCGGGGAAACCTCCTCAGGTGGGTCGGGGGCTCCTCGGGTGGTGTCAGGACCACAGGCTCAGCTAGGCGGATGAGGAGGTCACCCTGGAACAGAGAAATAAAAGATGCATGTAGGCATGGCTACCGTTAGTGGAATGGTGGTCATGAGGCCGCGCCCAGTTAGATCACAGGTGGGTTGTGCCAGGAAGGACTGGTGCAGGAGCCGAGGAGGGGACAGGCCGGGCTGCCAGGATTTGGGCTGGTCTGAAGGCCAGGGCAGATTTGGGTCGATGCTGCCAAGGGGAGGGTGTTCCCGGAGGGAGGCACAGTGTGGGCAGCAGCATGGAGACAGAAAAGGGCAGAAGGGCTGGGTGTGAGTAAGTTGGGCTGGAGCAGAGGCTCCGTGCAAGCAGCCGGCCGCGGAGGCTTCCAGAGGTAGTCGTAGCCGGACCACAGGGAGACCCTGATGCTGGGCCAAGGGCTTTGAGGGAGCTGCGGTGACTGGACATATGAGCATGGTGTCCTAAGAACAGAACTGGACAGCGATGAGCACAGCAGGAGGGAGAAGAGAGACCAGGAGGCGAGAGTAGGGCAGAGCCAGAGTCCAGAGAGGTGGGAAGCAGGGACTCCTCTGTGTGTGAGTGAGTCAGAGAACACAGGAGTGACCAGGACGAAGGACTTTGGAGGAAAAACCAGTTGTTCCACCTGAGATATGACTGAAGGCTTGCTGAGTGCAGGCGCTCAGCAGCCGTTTGGGGGCCGAGGAGGAGGTTAGGGCTGAAGTCTTAGGTTAGGGTGTGGTCCACATGGAAAGGGTAGTTCACTCAGTGAGAACAGGCGAGTTTCTAAGATAGGAGACGCAGAGAGCGTGGAGGCTGTAGTCTGAACCTCAGGGAATAGGGGTGAGAAGAACTCAGAGAACTAGATGGAAAATCAGGGCCTCAAGATAACTGAGCCGAGGGCGCCCTGCTGTCGAATGTCAGGGGTGGTGTCCTGTGCTGTATGGGACCTGCCTTTCGTGGAGCTCAGAGTCCGTGTGCGTGTTTACCTACCATCAGGCAGGGACAGCAGGGAGGAGGCAGGCGTGTGGGGCATAGACCAGCCCCAGCCCCCTCCGGCTCCCCGGCTTCTGGGCTTATACACATAAACCACCATGTTTATCCATTCATTGGTTTTCTTTCCGGACCATGAGGAAATGTCATACACTGTAATTTCTATGCTGCAAACATTCAGAAGCAAAAGACAGGACTCTGAGTGACACAGATGGCGGGTGTGTGGTACCTGGAGGCTCGGGCGCGTGTCAGCATTGGGTGTGGACCCGGCAGCTGGGGCGGCCCGCTGTTCAACCACGGGCAAGCAATTTAACCTTTCTAGGCCTCAGTTTCTTCATCTGGAAAATGGGGCTTGTGAGAGTTAAATGGTTTAATATGTGCCAAAGTGCTCAGGATGGTGCCAGCACCTAGTAGGGCTAGGTAAGGGCCAAGAGTCACAGTTGTCATTGGAGGGGGAGGAGAACGTGAGACTCTCGGGGCAATCGGCAAGACCTGATACTTAGCAATCCTCAGTTCCGTAGTAATGACATTGGACGTAAAGTCCCTTAAAACATAAAGGGGCGCCTTTCCTCTGTTTCCTTGGGGAGTGAGGTTGGCTCCCGAAGGGTGGAAGCCAGGAGTTGATGTCGTGAACTGAGTGCGCGTGTCTGGCGGCCCTGCAGAGCCGCTGCTCCGTCTGGCGCTGGGAGGAAGGCCTCCTAGTCTGCCCTCAGTGATCCTGGATTAGAAACTAATTTTTTTTTTTTAAGATAAGAAATGAAAAAAGGACTAAGAAAGTCTCTAAGTCAACAAGACAGACGGAACAGAGCCACTTTTCTGTTCCCCCTCTGGAATGCAGAACCTCCCAAGACTTGTCACTGCCTCGCACAGGCAGCAGGCCCAGAAATGTCTACGTGGGGGGAGGGGACCACACAGGAAAGGTGACCCCACGGCCCACAGCCCTGCCCCGCTGCCCTTCAGTGGCTCAGGGACGTCAGGCCTGGCCCGGCTCCACCCGCGCTGACGTGGGGCCGGCTGGTTGGACGCCACGGGCAAAGGTGTGCTCCCAGCCAGGCTGCTCCAGGCCCTGCTGCTCTGGGCTCCTGGAGTCTGACTGATCATTGCTGTGGTCACCGCTTAAATACCACTTCTTGGAAGCCATTTCCTTTTGGAATTTGCCCTCTGTCTTTCCTTATCTCTGAGTGGTTGCCGGAATTTCCCTGTTGCTGGGAGCTTGGTTTTTTTGTGTTGTTTTTTTTTAATCTGTTTTTTCTTTGCTGCTTGCAAAGGTAGGAAAGAACTTCACGATTTCTGTGACATAAGAATGTTTTATGCTTGTGGGAGGGCCATTAAAGTTCATTACAGCTTGGCTGGTGCAGTGCCTTCTCCTCTAGCACAAGTTTCTGCTGCTCTGGGCTAATTGGGGCCATTCGCAGTTTGTACTGGAAAGGGACAGAAGGAGGAACGGCGAGTGTGTGGAAGGTTACCTTGTGCCTCTTCCCTGTGTGGCTCCCAGTTGCCGCTCGGTGACGACCGGCTGGTGCCTTTTGCAAGCTCAGCGGCAGGGCGGGTGCCGTGGGGACCGCCTGCGCTGCCAGGAGGATGGGGACGACAGCCTCCCCGGGCCGTCCTGCCGATTATTTGGGAGATGCTGAGATTTGCACGGAAATAGAAGCTGCCCCACAGCTTCCTTGCTAGCCGTGACACTGAGAAGCATGTGGAAAATGCATGTTAGTTAAACAAGTCATTCCCCTGGGTCTGTAAGTAATTTTAGGCTCTGTTAAAAGTACACATTCCAGTTCCTCAGATTTTCCCAAGAGTGCAGTAAAACTTTTACCCTGCTCTGTTAAACAGGACGGGAAGGCTCAGAGGAGGCATCCTGGGACTTAGCCCCGCGGGGCGCAGGGCTGGCGCGCACGGCACAGTCGTGCACCCATCGCCCGTCAGCGATGTCCTCCTCCAGCGGACTTCCCTTTGCTGTTAGGGTGTGCTGGGGCGCTCTCATTCTGAGCAGTTTCCTTTCTTTCTTCTTTCCATGATGTTGTCTGAAGTTTTTATGACTTAATGACATTTCTGCCCCATTTGCCTTTCGCTTCAGAAATAAAGAGAAGAGCGGGAGCCAGCCAGCCTGCCTGGATCACATGCAGGACCGCCGAGCCTTATCCCTCAAAGCCCACCAGTCGGAAAGTTACCTGCCGATCGGTATGTCCCCGGGGAGTTTCAGGGAGGAGGGTGGCTCGTGATCCCGATTTCCTTCAGGCGGTCGTCCTGCTCAGTCTAGTCATCTGTCTGACTTGGAGCTGACACGAGGCTCCGTGCCGGCAGCCTGGAGGGAAAGTGGTTTGCAGGACGAGAGCCAGCCGCAGAGCACTGAGCCAAACGCTTTATGGGTGCTGGCTGTTAGGCCCCATGGCAAGCTTTTAAGGTGGGCTTGCTTGTCCCCATTTCGCAGTTGAGGAAGCTGAGGCACAGAGAGGCTAAAGTGACTTGTCCACAGTCACCTAGCATTTGAGTCCAGGTTTTCTGATTTCAAGCCCATTTGATCACTGGGGGCCTTCATGATAAATGAGCCTCCTCCCTTAGTCCCTTCCTGGGCAGAGGCTGGCCACTCAGTGACGAAGGGGGGGACGAGGGGGTGAGGGAGGGGGAAGGGGGGGTCAGTCCTGGGGCTTTCGGTAGATCTTCTCCATTCTCCTTTCAAGGCCAGAAGAGGGGCAAGCCCCAGGGTGTGGGGAAACCTAGCACACAATTATATTAGTAGGGCATAGGATTACTGTTCATTATTTTCATAACCTTTCTAGGAACCACAGAGTGATCCTCCTAATACCCCTTTGTAAACTGCTTTTATGTGGGTTATCGCAACGTCCCTTCCTATGTCCCTAGCTCTTCCTTTAAAGCTGGCTGGGATCCACGCTGGTTGTGAGAGTGACTCGGGCCCTTTATGCTATGTGGCTAATGACTTCTGTTTCTTAGGGCAAGATGACTTTACTCACTGCCCTCTGAGCTCTTGGGCATCCCTGGGATTGAGAATTGCCCCCAGAAGTCGTGGGGGCGGGGGACTCGCCCTCACCGTGCTGTGAGACTGGGTGTGGGGCAGTCACACTGAGTTTTCTTTTGGGAATGAAAATTGAAACCCAAGGGCATGAATGGAGGGCTGGGGAGCTGTCACTCTAGTTGTGTTTGTTTTGTGTTCTCCACACAGCTGCGCTCTCTCTGACCTTCTCTTGTCCCCCACAGGCTGTAAGCTGCCCTCTCAGTCCCCGGGCGTGGACGCGAGCCCCTGCCCTAGCTCGCCCGTGTTCAGGACGGGCAGCGAGCCCACTCTGAGCCCGGCGGTGGTTCGGAGGGTCTCCTCGGACGCCAGGCCGGGGGAGGCGCTGAGGGGATCGGACAGCCAGCTGTGCCCGAAGCCTCCCCCGAAGCCCTGCAAGGTGCCCTTCCTCAAAGCCCCCTCGTCCCCGCCTGCCCGGCCCAACTCAGAGGCCAACTACTGTGAGCTGAACCCGGCCTTTGCCGCAGGCTGTGACCAGGGAGCAAGGCTGCCGCTGTGCGCCCGGGGCAGCCGTCCCGAACTGCTGACCGCCAAGCGGCATGGGGCGCCAGGCCCCCGGAACTCTGGCATCAACTACTCGATCCTCGACGGCGATGACGGGGCGAGACCGTGGGAACCTCCGGCGGCACAGGTGGACAAGGAGGACGAGGGCACGTTCGTGAAGCCCCTCCTGGAGACTGTGTCCTCGTTCAGGCCCAATGACTTTGAGTCAAAGCTGCTTCCTGCCGAGAACAAGCCCCTGGAAACAGCAATGCTGAAACGTGCAAAAGAACTGTTCACCAGCAGCGGCCCCAAGGTCATTGCCCAGCACATGCTGAGCGTGGACTGCAAGGTAAGAGCTCGGGAGGCAGGAAGGGGGTCCGGTCTGGCCTCACTGCGCCTTACGCTTCAAGCGCTTTGCTCATAGGAAAAGTCTGGCGATGACACTGGTGTAGGGGTTTATTGAAGGGGCGGGAACCACAAGGCAGGACAACCTTTGCCCAGGCAGGAAGCTTGTAAAACTCACCTTGGACAGAGGGTGGCAGCTGCTGCCGGGGGGCCACCCCACCCCCGCCGTGTCAGCAGCTGCTACAGAATCCTCCTCCTCCTCCCCTGGCCTCAACTCCCTGAGCACTGGCAACGCCAAAGCCACAGGAGAGGAGAGCGTAGATGAAAACGTAGTTTCCAGAGCAGCAGAACCTTGGTTGTTTTCATTTCATTATGCACTATATATCATACTTACATACGTTATACATTTATTTTGTGACTAAAATGGTCCTTAGTACAAATAAACATTTTTAAAGTTACCTTGATCTTTTTTACAATACTTGCTTAATTTAGAAAAAAATATATAATACAAATTAAAAGAAAAAATTAAAATCACACAAAATCCAGTGTCCTGGTGATCACCATTGTCAACAATTTGGTATATGTAAAAACATTACCTTATCATTTGCACTGCAAATAGATACATGTGAATCATTGCAGGTATAATGTTTGTTATCCAGAAATGGCACTAGTCTATACATGCTATTCCAAACCCTGAATCTTTCATTGAACAACATATCACGATCATTTTTTCATGTGACTATAAAATATGTTTACATCATCATTATTTTTGATAGGAAGCATCTCTTTTAGATACGGGTGGCTTTTGTTCACAAGTGGTCCCCAAACCACCTCATCCTTCAGAGAGATACACTGTCCCTCAGTATCCATGGGGGATTCGTCCTAGGACCTCCAGCAGATACCAAAACCTATGCATATCTTCTCATATACTTTAAATCATGTCTGGATTACTCATAATACCTGATATGGTGTAAGTGCTTTGTAAATAGTCATTATACCATATTGTTTAGGAAATAATGAATGACAAGGGGAAAAGTGTACATGTTCAGTACTGATGCATTTTTTTGAAGTATTTTCAAGCCAAGGTTGGTCAAACCCACAGTTTCTGAGCCCACGGATAAGCAGGGCCAACTGTATTCTAGACCACATGTATCTCAGGCTGGGCTGCACTAAGCTCCCCCTCCTCAGCAGAAAGAGGCTGGTACCTGGGCGTTCGGATGATGGATTTGAAGCTCTTTTTCATTTAGCTTCAAAGTTTAGGGCTTATTTAGGAACTAGGTTTTCCTTCCTGAGTCATGTATTCGAGGCAAGAAATCCAGACGTTAATCAAGGGTTCCTCACAACAGCCCTGTGGAACATTAGACAGTTGCTGGCCCTCTTAGGGGTAAACAAGGCCCTTGCTGAAAACAGGGCTTGAGGGATGACTCAGTAACTGATGTCCCTCACTGCTCAGGCCTGGGGGAGGGGACAACTGCACCTCCACACCTCTGGGCAGGCTTGAGAGGAGAGCCAGGAAGCAGGTGCATTGGGAGAAAAAGGGTGTGTTCACAATTTGGCTGGAGGTCCTTGGGCAGTGCTCGTAGGTGGCCAGATTATTTGCGGAGTTAAATCCTTACCTCACTTTAAAGCAAGCTAAACCTGTTTGGGAGGTAAGAGGACTGAGGATTTCTGTTCTAGTAAGTCAGCCTCGCTGGGTCCTGGATGTGAAAGCAGAACCAAGCCCAACAGGCCAGGAGTGAGCTTCTGGCCTGGCATGAACCTGCCTGGGTTCTCCATAGAGGAAGCAGCCAGGAAACACAGGAGCCTGGGTTTGCAGAACAGCCTAATTCCCGGGGGGAATGAATCCTTCTTCCTATGGCCTTGACCAGTAGTCTAGGAGGAGGAGAGATGCCTGCCATTCTTTGCAGGAGGCCTAGAACCTTCCTACCACCTTTGGTAGCCATGAAACTAAAGCCTGAGTCTGTTCTCACATGAAGAATGTGCAGTCTGCCCTCCTGCTTGCTGTGGTGCGTGTCGATCTCCTGGTGGGGCCTCACTCCCACGTCTGCCTTCAGGCACCCCTGGACGAGGGCTGGATGGAGTCCCAGGCACCCAGGCAGAGCTGGAAGCAGGAGCCAGCCTGGATTCTGCCCACCCAGTGCCAGGGCAGGGCTGTGTTTAGTCTTCCCTCTTTCTCCCCTCCCAAGTCTACCAACATTTCCTTATTCTCTTCCTGGAACCGCTGACTTCCAAGTAGGCACAACCCGTGCCTCTAAGAGGGAAATAAAACAAGGTCTTTTGTTTCCTGCCCCAATTGCAGGGACAGCCCAGATGGGGCCACCCAGGAGCTGAGAGCAGGCGCTGGGTAGCATCTGGGCCCACGTGCTGGTTCCCACCCTTGCAGGCAGGCACCTAGGAAGGCCATAAGGACAGCGGGTGGTCCTGAGGGCCCCCCCCCGCCCCCCGCTGCCTACCCAGCAGTGTCCAGCCCCCACCCCTCAAAGCCCGGTTAGGAGCCACTGAGCCCCTCCCACCCTGCAAATGGGTGCTGCCCTGGCCTCACCTGCGGCGTCTGGAGCATGGCCGGCCTCCCGCCCACTTGTCTTTGCCCACAGCTGGACGTAGGGCCCAGGAGTGAAGGCTTGGCCCTGCCACACGAGCTGCCTGGCCTCTCTTACCCCCTCCCCCCATCTACAGGGAATCGCTGAGGAATTCCGACCACCCAGTGAGGACTACATAAGATAATATATGAAAAGGCCTGGGTGCCTTGCCTGGCTCAGAGTGAGCGCTGAGTGTTTACTAGCGTTATGTATTTGGCCTTGATCGAGTGCCTACTGTGTGCCAGGCCAGCTCATGGTGTCTGCTCTGGAGGTGCCTGTGTCTGGTGGGGACGGGCGGGGAGGGACAATGACACAGGAACGGCTGGGAAATGCTCTGCAGGGGAAGGCACAGGAGGGGAGGGTGGAGGCGGGGTGGGGTCCTTCAGATGAGTTTGGGAGGCTGTTTGGCCACATGACAGCAAAAAGCACCTTGCAGGCAGCACGCAGGCACAGAGACTGGGATGTCAGAAGCCACTGGGAGTGGGTAGGTGTACAGAGGATACAGACCGTGTGGGTAGCAGGAGGGGTTGGGGTGAAGTGCGGGAGGGCCTGACGGGTCTTTCCTCTGGTGTTGAAGTCTGTGCTTCCGGGCGGGTTCCTGCCTACGGAGCATGTTACAGTCAAATGAGGTGCAGACCTGAGTCCTTTGTGTGGAGGGCAGCAGAACCAGCAAACGCAGCCAGGCGTTCTCATTGCATTTTAGAAGGTCCATTGGCAGCTGGGACGAGGGCTGAGCCAGGGCCCCACCAGGGCTCCCGTGGGTCACGCAGCACCTTCTGAGGTGGTAGGACGAGGAGGGATGGGTAGAGTCCGGAGATCAGGCTGGGAGAGCAAGGCTTTGGACGGCAAAGGTGCTGGAACATCTCCCCGTGGGGCGCCTGTGCCCCCTGCCCTGCCGGGTCAGCCTGTAGTCAGTGCTCTGTGGGTGCCGTCCTTCCTCTGTCTGTGAGCTGCGCGGCCATGTCCCGGGGGGCCTCAGCCGGGCCTTGCAGTGTGAGCTCAGAAGCAAGCAGAGGTGACCTGGGGATGGCATATGTATGCTGGAAAAACCCAGACTGGAGGCTTCTCGGAGCAGGGATCGCCAAATGCCTGCCAGGTCTTCCAGAATAAAACGGAATCAGCGACGAGCCTCTCCGTCTCGTTCCCCAGAGCATGCCTGGGTTGGAGGCCGGCCCTCAGACCGCAGGGTTTGGAACCTCTGGCAGAGAGCAGCTTCCACACAAGTGACGGGGAGCGGGGCCACCACCGCTGGGGTGCGCAGCTGGGCTGTCTTGCGTGGTCAGGGTGTGAATCTCCTTCCTGAGATCTGGCCAGAATTCTTCCCCTTCCCATGTGGCTGATGATTCATAGCTTGTATATTCAAATGCCTTTTGGGGGTTTTAAAGTCATTTGAATACTTTGCAGAGTCCTTGAGAAAGGTGAACTTAACAGTTGTGTTAGGAAGGGACACTGAGGCCTGGAGAGTGCGAGTGTGAGCACAGTCTGAACGCCGCGTCCTATTCTGGCACCTCCCACTGGACAGCCGGGGCCCCAGGCTCGTCCGCTCAGGGTTGACAGGGGTTCCTTCGCTCCCCACAGAAGTCAAGGGGCTAATAATGTACGCTAAACTTCTGGATGTTTCCTGTGGCCTATTACGAAGACGTCTGCACAGCTCACATGCCTGGGATAACTGTGGTCGAGGACAAGTCCACCCGAGCAAGAACTGCCCCATGCCTGCCACGCGGTCAGGCCTGGCTGGACCCGCCGTGCCTGCTGGTTTGCACTGTTAGTACGTCACTGTGCTGTGAGGCGTCGTCAGCCCAATTTTGGAGACCCACTGACTCAGTCGGTACATTTCTACGGAACATGTAATAAATAACTACAAATGGTCTACTAATCCCTGATTCCAATAAACTGTGACTAGATACTAAAATCGAGATGACGTGAGAGCTGGCCTGGGACAAAGGAAGATTTTCTTTTAGGCAAACCTCGCAGGAGGAGAAGTGGGTGTGTTTGAGACCTCAGGTTTCCAGTCTCTATACACGTTCTTAATAGTTTCCAGGCGTATGGTGTGTTTACTGAGCCCTGGGGAGGCGTAATTAAGGGGCCCAGCAGCCAGCTGGGGCTGTTAAGTGAGAACATGCATGGCAAAGCCCCCGGCAGAGGGAGCTTGGACGAGACTCTGCTCCTCCGCTGTAGGGGGTCGGTTGGCTCCGCACACACGCAGCCCTGCCGTTGGCAGCAAAATGTCGCCGCAGGATCCCGCCAGTGTCAGGCAAAAGCTCAAAGGACTGAACTGTTCTCTGGCTGGGCAGAAACACTTAACAAATCTGCAGGTTTGGCAGACCAGTCTGGGTGTTTCCCCCCTAGTCCTCCTCTTGCCCCTAGGTCTTATATTCTAGTGGGTGTATTCGCATGCCCCGGATATAACAGAAGAACCCTACTGTCGGCTGCTGCTGCCGCGCCTGGGAAATGCAACAAGCGGAGCACATCCGCGCTGCCCGGCCTCGTGCATTTCCTCTCGCAGGCTGCAGTGGTGCAGGCAAGCCCACCTCCTGATCCGGTGTGTTTCCACTTTGGTTCTGACAGGTTGCTAGGATACTTGAAGTCTCTGAAGAAACGAGGAGGAACATGGGCGTGAGCTCGGGGCTGGAGCTCATCACCCTGCCTCACGGACACCAGCTGCGTCTGGACATCATCGAAAGGTGAGCGGTGCCGCCCTCTGCGTTTCTGACCCTTCCCACTCCCTGCGGGGTCAGAGCGGCACCAGCCCGGCCCAGGGTAGCATCGCCTCAGGGTGCGTGGCCCAGGCCACTCTTCCGAGACACCTGAGCCAGAGATCCCTGGAGCTGCACACGGGGACAGCCCGGCGCAAGTCAGGCTCAAAGAACACGTTCCTGTCCCTGCTCCTGGAGGGGGCTGATGGAGAGGCCAGACTTGCCTGAAGCCACTGGCTTGGTTGACCGGTGCGAGGAGAAGTCACAGGTCCTGCCAGCTCGGGGTGGAGCTGGGCGCTGCAGGCAGCCAGGGCACCTGGGATGTCCCCGGGTCTCCTACCCCTATCGCCCTGCCCCAGTGAGCCCCGCGCATCTGTCTCTCTGGAGCTTACAACTGCTGGAGGAACTAAGTGGGAGTTTGTGGGAAAGAACAGAGTCTGAACAATGTTTTCTTTGAGGGGTGGACAAAAGGGGAGGCAGAGGTCAGGGGATGACAGCTCCCGGCCCGCTGCCCTCTTCTCATGGAAAGCCAGGGCCTGGTGTCCACTGGAATGCAGAGGAGTGAACGTGCGATGTTTCAAAACTAGAAATAAGAGTGAGGCATGTTTTTAAGAACAGAAATGCTAGACTAGATTTTCATATTACCACAAAAACTCCCCTTGTTGATGCATAAAAAAATGTTGATTGGGGCACAACTATCTTGTTATCTTTAATTTTCTGTTCTTCCAACCAATGTCCCGTTGCCCTGTCTGCCTGTGGGTGGCTTTCCATGGTGTTCTAGGTGACTGTGCTTTCAGCACAACTTCCTGTGATGACAGAAATGTTCTTATCTGCACTGGCCATTGCAGTAGCCACCAGCCACCTGTGGCTCTTGGGCACCTGAAATGTGTCCAATGTAACTGAGGGACTTTTTAAGTTAGTGTTTACTGTTTTTAGTGTAAACAGCCACATGTTGCTAGTGGACAGAGCAGTCCAAAAATGTCAGCTCTGGAAAGTGAGCACTGCATTTCAAATGATCTTGGATGGAGGCATCTGCGTTCGGGGTTCCCAGCCTCGAGCTGCATCCCATAGAGCACACCCAGGGTGCTGAGCTAAAGCGTGTGGGGCAGGAGGTGGAAAAGTGGCCGTGCTGGCTTTGTTCGGGCACAGCCATTGTTGAAGGCCTTTGGGAGATTATAGATCCCGCTTCTGAATTTCCCTGCTTTTCCTGGAGAGACTTTTCTAGGGTCCAGCCTTGCTCTCTGGGTGTCCCCTTCTCTCCTGGGGGCCTGGCCTTGCAGTCCACTCGCTTCCCCTGTCCACAGAGGTGAGCTTTGCCGCCGTGCTTCCCTGTTTCTCACGTGAGACGTCTCAGCCTGAAAACTCCCCGGGTTCCAGGCCTAATGAATCTGAGCCTTATTTCGTCAGCATCACTAGGTGTACTGGGACGTGTGTCCTGGGCCCAGGTGGGGCAGCAGGTCTGGGGTGTCTCTCTTGGCGATTTTCACCCTCATGAACATCCATTTCTTTCTTCTCTCGGTTGCCACTTGGCTGGGGTCTCACGCCTTGGCTTGCTTCTTGTCCAGGGCTGACTTGTGGGCTCTACCTACTAGAGACTGGGGCATGGTTTTATTAATTACAATGTATTTACTGAATAAAGGCCAAGGTTAGAGGGGTCCTGAAGTGTCAAATGACATGAAGTTTTTGTGTGTAAGAATCAAATACAAAATTACCCTTTATTTTTAATGTACCACTTCACCCACGCCAAGCCTACCAAGCTGGAAATGTCCTTCGTGTAACATTTGAGTTGCCAGCCCCTAGAGCTCTTGCTACACACTTGCCACCCCAAGGTGTTCTTCCCACAGTGGTGTCCCCCAAACGTTTCAGGTAAATGTTGGCTGCGTGAGTGGTTATAACCATTTGGCTAACAAATGACACAGCAACAGGTATTAAAGAAGGGGTAGAGAAACCTGCGTTTTATTAAGGGCCAGTAAAACTAAAACACAGGAGAAGAAAACACTGAATAAACGATTGATTGAATACAGCATGGGAAGTTAGTTGACTTCCCCTAGTTAAAAGAAACTAGTTAAAAGAAACATCTAAAATGTTCTACTCAATGTTAACACTTTGCAAATGAATAACAAAACTCTTCAAAAAATGCAAATAATAAAAATATACTTTAGGTCTTTGTTTGGATACATTAATTGGGAAAGACAAGAAATCAGAGAAAGGAGATGAATAAAGAAATGGGAAAAAAGAGATAAACAAACGCCTCAAATGGACCAAGACACAGAGGGAGAGACATACACCGAGACGACTGTGCCAACCACTACTGTTTGGTGGGTGCCTGCTAGTGCCAGGCACTTTAGTCATTGTTACGCCCATACGCAGTCTGTTTCGCACAACCTTTGCTCTCCTTTTACCGATGAAGAAACTAAGGAGTGGAGCCTTAAGTAACATGGCAGTTGAACACCGTGCATACGTATATGTGCAAACACTCAGACGGGAGCTCGTCACTTATTTAACAAACATTAGAGCAGTGAGTCACGCTGGGCACTGGCTGAATCACTGCTGCCCTTTGCTCAAGGAGAGCAAGAGAAAGACCAGCACCCCTGGGCACAGGGAGAGCACGGCCACAGAGTCGCATCCAGAGCTCTGAACGTCCAGGACACCGTGGCCCTGGACTTCCAAAGCTTGTTGAACTGGGGGCTTCACCTCCAACGCTTGTACCAGAGCTGGATAAAATGTAACTGAGGTAATTCTGGTCCATTGCAGTCAACTCCTAGGTCCTGACTTACAGAGGCAGGGAGAGGAGGTCACAGTCTGTGCTTCCTCCCACTGTTGACCCCATTCATGTTAGTCCCATTGTCATGGAGGGAAAAGATCACCCTGCTTCCTGTTCTGGGTCTGAGCTTGTCCTATGTAGCTCAGAATGAAAAAAGGGATGATTGTTGGGGGGAGTAAGGTTTTGATTTTATTAGGGTCTGACCTTTATAGGCTTATTCTTGCCCATTATCAGCTGGTCAGTCTTGTCCACATCTCTGTTCCTCTGGCCTCTTGACTGGGGCTGCAAAACACCATTCTTAGCTCCTCTTTCCTTCCTTTTTTCCAACGCCTGTGTCCTCTTGGATCAAGCATATCCTCCCATTTCTCTGCCCCTTCCATTCCCAAGTCCAGGGGACTCTCTGGAGGCGGTCCCAGGCTTCCCTGAGGAAGGAATTCCCAGTGTGTGTTGGGGGCACCTTCTGTCTCCTTGGACCTCTCATGGTGGGGAGTACAAGGAGCTACATGAACCCCTGAGCACCTTAGCCCCAGGGGGCCTCTCCATGCCTCTCTGCCCATGGTTGAACTTGGCCCTGTCCTGAGGCATCTGGTTTTGACTGCATAGTGCATGCACCCTCTGCGGCCTGGCCTGGGCCCTGCCGCAGTCAGCTGCTAGCGGGTGGTCTCTCTGTTGAGATTGGCCATTTAAAGTCTGTGGCTGGCACATTTCAGAGCAAGCAACAAATGGTGCAAAACCAATCGTGTTCTGGGCAATTTGATTTCATTTTCTTTTAGTCCCACTGGCCCTGGGCCTGACCACTGATCCTCCTCCCTCTCAGACACAACACGATGGCCATCGGCATTGCAGTGGACGTCCTGGGCTGCACGGGCACTTTGGAGGAACGAGCGGCCACCCTCAACAGGATCATCCAGGTGGCCGTGGAACTAAAGGATTCCATGGGGGACCTCTATTCTTTCTCAGCTGTCATGAAAGCCCTGGAAATGCCACAGGTAAGTTTTCGCTTGCTTTGTGCAGCCCCTCAGACCTGCCTGCACTTAATGCTCTGCAAAGGGGCCTGCACACCATGCTTAGCAAATCACAGGCTATTTTAGTCCGTCTTGAAAAGTAAATTGAATCTTAAAGAAAGCTTCTTCGATTAGGGAGCAAGCAAGAGTATTTTGTCTCTACTTTTAAAAACAGTGGGTAATTGCTGACAGTCCGTGTTTTCTCTTTGATGTACAATACCAAGTGTCATCCTCACAAACAATCAGTGTTCCTGGAGAAACAGTCAGGGTGAGAATCTGGCTAAAATGTGTGTATAAGAGACTGCTTCCATCTGGGTCACCAGGAATGTGGGCAGTTTGGGATAATGACTGGGAAAATGAGGCATTTGGGGAGCTTATCTCAGAGAATCTTTAAAGAAGTTTACCACAGGTACAGTCCTCAGGTCACCTACAACAGATTCCTGTTAAAAAAAATTCCTGGCCCACCTGCCATATAACCCCCTCATTAGACTTTGTGAAATTGGGCATTTGAATTTATCTGCTTCGACAGGGGTTTTTCAGGATGAGTGTCAAACCTGAAAACCTGGATTTTCAATCCAGCAGGCCTCACAGAGCAAGGCATCCTGCTATCTTTATTGCTCAGAACCAGCGTTCCAGTTCTGTTCTCCTGAGCCTGAGGTGCTTGGAGGACTCTGAGTATGAGATTACAGTCCTGCAAGCAAAACTGCAACCAGGAACATCAAAACTGCTGGTCATTTAGCTTCACTGTTTCGTAGCCACAGATTGTCTCTGAAATCCTGCCAGGTGCTTGCTGAAAATCCATCACTGCCACTAAGGAAGACAGCTACAATCTCACATGTCCCACAAGTCTCAGTGGGGACCTTCTGTTAATGCAAGATCACCTTAAAAACAAGAAGCTGAACAACGTGGTGCCTTCATCAGGAATTTTTGGGGGATCCATTCTATTTATAATATTTTAAGAGCTTTTAAAATTCTTCAGGTGCACTGGAATTTTGTAGGATCGATATTTGAAAAAAGCAACCCATAAATTCTGCCATACTTTCTTGATATACTGATTTCTATAGCAGGGTTTTTAACTTTTCATTCAGGTGTGTTTTTTTTGTTTTTGTTTTTTTTTTTGAGACAGAGTCTCACTTTATTGCCCAGGCTAGAGTGAGTGCCGTGGCGTCAGTCTAGCTCACAGCAACCTCAAACTCCTGGCTCAAGCAATCCTCCTGCCTCAGCCTCCCAAGTAGCTGGGACTACAGGCATTCGCCACCATGCCCGGCTAATTTTTTGTATATATATATTAGTTGGCCAATTAATTTCTTTCTATTTATAGTAGAGACGGGGTCTCGCTCTTGCTCAGGCTGGTTTCAAACTCCTGACCTTGAGCGATCCGCCCACCTCGGCCTCCCAGAGAGCTAGGATTACAGGCGTGAGCCACCGCGCCCGGCCCTATTCAGGTGTTTTTAACTGCATCATGTTTATTTCTTCTCATCCACTACTGCCTCGAATTTGAACAGCTGAGCCAACAGGCCAGGCTGGGTGTAAAGCCCCCAGCCCAGAGCTTCCTTTGAGAATGGTAAAGGGGATGTTCCGTGGGGTCACGTGGTTGCTGTGCCGTCTGACCCAGTGGTCAGGGACTTACCCGAACCACCACCTTCACATGCTCTGTGGACGGCTCCCTCCCCTCCAGCAGGGCCAGACAGTTCCCTTCTGGAGTCTCAGCAGTGCGGCAGCGCAGTCCTCCAGGGTACTCAGAGCCGGGGCGCGAGCAGGGGGAGGCGAGTGGCATACCCAGGGAAAACCCCAGAGGACGGTCACATCACTGTGTCGCCATCCAAACCTGCGCTTGTCCACAGCCACCTATGCCACCTTCTCTTCTCAGCCTCTAGTATTGAGAGAGAAGCGCCCAGGAGATGAACCTGACCCAGATCCAGGGCTTCCTCCAGAGGGTGATGCTCCAGGGAGCGGGAGGGAAGAAGGGTTTTCTGAAAAAAGAGGGCAGCATGAGGGTGGCCAGAGGGCGGCCAGCCACAGCCTTTTCTTCCCAGCAAACCAGCTGGAGCTGACCCTTCTTACCTTCCTCTTGGAATCCATGGGAGCTCTTAGAGGCCAAGGAACTGAATCTCAGCTCTGTCACTTTCCAGCTGGGAAACCTTGGGCAAGTTACATAATCTCTTCTGTTTTCTGATCTGTAAAATGAGGCCAAAATACCTGCTGTATGAGGCTTTGTGAAGATTAAATGAAATTCTTCAATTACTTGCCACCAAGTTGGCTCTCATTCCCTAAATACTAATGCCCTTCCTTGTTTCATGTAGAAAACTTGACACTTGGGCTTGCTGGTGTTATGGTGTGAGTGGGGACCATTCATCTTAGGACAGAGTCAGTGGCATAGGCTGGTGTTGACTAAATTATTCTAAAACAAATGAAAAGAAATGAGTAATGGCATCACATGGTCTGGGCAATCCTTTGTGTGTCTCAGACATTTTTGTACAAACATTACAATGCTTTTACGTCACATTCCTATGTCCTTGCGTTGGTGCCACCTCTGTGCTGGACAGTTACCAACACCTGTCAAAATTTAAATATGTGTATTCTTTGGCCCAGAAGTTCCATTTCTGGAAATGTATCCTCCAGATATTTTCACACTTGTATGCATTTGCCAAACCCTTTTGTAATAGCAAAATATATTTAAAACTCTTATCTCTAGACCAGTTATAGTGTCTCTATATAGTGGAATATTATGCAGAGGTTTAACAAAATAAGGCCGTTCTACATGGAATGATTTCCAAGCCCGGAACTGAAAAATATATGTTGTATATAAGAATGTATTTATTTTTAAAAGGGGTATGTGTACACACACACACACACACACACACAGAGTTGTCACTGGGATGAACCATGAGAGCAGTGCAGAAAGGGGTACGCTGAGGGATTACTTTTTCTCGGTGTTCTCTTGCCACGTGCATCTATTACCCGTTCCAAAATTTAAGCAAAATGGTAAATTTTTTTTGAGACCCTGGTTAGAGCACAGTGGTGTTATCATAGCTCACTGCAACCTCAAACTCCTGGGCTCAAGCAATTCTCCTGCCTCAGCCTCCCGAGGACCTGGGACTACAGGCACTCACCACCACACCTGGCTAGTTTTCCATTTTTAGTAGAGACAGGGTCTCACTCTTGCTCAGGCTGGTCTCAAACTCTTGGCCTCAAGCGATCCTCCCGCCTCAGCCTCCCAAAGTGCTAGGATTACAGGCATGAGCCACCACGCCTGACTGCAACAAGGTAATTTAAAAAGTCTTTTCCAAAATGATGATAATACTTTTCTTTCTTCCAGATCACAAGGTTAGAAAAAACGTGGACTGCCCTGCGACACCAGTACACCCAGACCGCCATCCTCTACGAGAAACAGCTGAAGCCCTTCAGCAAACTCCTGCACGAAGGCAGGGGTGAGCACGGCCAGCGGGGCGAGCCCGGAGTGCCCATGGGCGGTGGCAAATGACTAGGTCCTATGTGGCCCTCTGGTCAAGCATTTCACAGGGCAGATTATGAGGCCCTGAGTTATCTGCAGGACTGCTGATGTCCTCAGGACTTTTATCAGACGACAGCATCGCTTGTAGAAGGTCTACAGTAGCTACAACAAGACGCAGGATACGAGTCACCATTGTGTGCTTAACTTTGAAAAAAATGTGTCATGGAAAACTTTACTCCTTGTTTTTCAGAATCCACATGTGTTCCCCCAAGCAACATATCAGTCCCACTGCTGATGCCCCTTGTGACCTTAATGGAGCGCCAAGCTGTGACTTTTGAAGGAACTGACATGTGGGAAAAAAATGACCAAAGCTGTGAAATCATGCTGAACCATTTGGCGACAGCCCGGTTCATGGCGGAGGCTGCGGACAGCTACCGGGTGAATGCCGAGAGGAACCTGGCAGGTGAGGCCTGGGTTTGGGGAGCTGTCTACTGTATGTAGTGACTGAAATGAGGCATGAAAGAGCATGGATGTCCTTAATTTAAAAAAAGACCAAGGAGGAAAGAATAACGCATAGGAATTCCATTTCGTATATGACTGATCCTTACTTCCTCTAAATTCAAAAGTGACTCAAGTGTTCTGTTTCTCCTTTCTTAAGTGTTCTGTTGTGTCAGTGGTGTTGAACAGAATTAGTACCTCTGACTGGCAAGATTAGAAAAGGTGGTGGTCTGAGATGAGGAGGTGGAGTTTTATGTAGACTTCATTTACCTGCAGTCCTGTTCCTTCCCAGTCACACGGGAAAGTGAGCACCCTGCTCTTAGCCTCAGACACGTTCTGCAGAGCGTTGCGTAAACTGACCTTTCATGTAAGTGCTATGGTAATAGAAAGCGGCCGCTTCAGTTAGCTTCATGAACATTTATCACAGGCATGGTGAGCACAGAACCATGCTAGCTGGATGTCCTCAAGGTGCTCAGAGGCATTGAAGCAGGTGTTTCAGCACACGGGGGTTAGTGCAGCACGTACATGGGAGCACTTAAGGAACTGAATTGGTCAGAGATGCAGGGAAAGAGGAAGCCACAGGGGCACCTTCCCAGAAAACACCTCCAGTGATTGTTAACGAACAGTAGTAGTCAGCCAGAAAACAGAGATGGAAAGGAATGGAAATTCCACTCAGAAGGTACAACCACAAGCAAAGCCACTGAGAGAGTTAAGAAAAGTGGGAACTACCAGTACTTGGGTTTGGATTAGTGTAGATTATGACCTAAGAAACGGCCACCTAGGCTGCAGAGGGAAGGGGGCACAGCTGGGAAAGGCTCCTGCACAGGACCATGGCTGAGGAAGAGCCAGGGAAGAGTTGACCCAGGGAAGGGCATCACGGGGTCAGATTTATGTTTTGAAGTAAACTAGCTGGCATCTGCGTGCTGGGAGGCTTGTTGGCAGAAAGACCATTCAGGAAGCAAGTGCTAGACAGGGCTTTGCCAATGCAGTCATTAGAGATGACTGTTTGCTCTTACTCACTAGATAATTTTAAAAATTCTTCAAGGGCCCACAGTTGGATCCACAAGGTTAACAACTATGTGGGGCAGGAGAGGCCTATTCATTTCATTCTAAAAGAGAATTGTTGCTTCAGAACCAGAATGTGGGACGGAACGCTGGGCACCGTGTCTGCTGTAGGTATACACGCCACATACCTGTTTCACTTTTTCCCTCAAAAAAGGTCTCCAGCGTTGGCGATGTGGGACACAATAAAAACACACAATTCAACAGATTAGAGTATGTACTTATGCAAAGCCAATGAATAGTATTACTTTCCATGTTGCATAAGCCAATACATCAGGATGGGGTTTGAGGAAAGTGTGTCTTAAGCTGTTCTACAGCAAATCACTTTAAAGGTAGGTGATGGAATTTTTCAGCTGACCCTGCCACAAGTTTACACAGCAAGTTCCCACTGCTGAAAGTGACAGTGACTACACCAGCACCCAGGCCAGGGCACAGGCTCAAAGCATGTTACCTGAGTGAATGGAAGTCGTCAACTGGCCTTTGGTGGTTTATCCATCAAGGATATTATTCTTAATGATGCCCTTTTCAAAGAAGCTCACCAGCGATGTTTGGTTTTTACTCATTTTTGCTAGGGTAAGGTTGTGGGCTTACCAAACTGTGACTGAGACAAGTGCGCAGTATGGCAAAGAGGTGGACGGAAGTGGTAAATATGAGGCGGGCCATATGCAGACTAAAAGAAGTGTCAGATTCTGACTTTAATGCCTGCCACCAGAAGTAGCTTAATTGTTCCTTGCCAGTCACAGATAGGGTTTTTTGTTGTTGTTGTTGTTGTTGTTTTTGAGACAGAATCTCACTCTGTTGCCCGGGCTAGAGTGCCATGGCATCAGCCCAGCTCACAGCAACCTCGAACTCCTGGCTCAAGCAATCCTCCTGCCTCAGCCTCCTGAGTAGCTGGGACTACAGGCATGCGCCACCATGCCCGGCTAATGGATAGGGTTTTGATATGAGTTTGCAAGCAATTGATTTATTATGGTCTCTGTGCAATCGAACCTCTCTAATAATAATCTGTATTTGCAGCCAGTCTTCACTAGCATCACCGCCTCAGCTCCACCTCAGATCATCAGGCAGTAGATTCTCATAAGGAGCACAACCTAGATCCCTCACATGCGCATTTTACAGTAGGGCTCACACTCCTGTGAGGATCTAATGCTGCTGCTGATCTGACAGGAGGTGGAGCTCAGAGGCCAGCGATGGGGAGCGGCTATAAATACAGATGAAGCTTCCCTCTCCTGCCACTCATCTCCTGCTGTGCAGCCCAATTGGGGAGTACAGGCCTAGAGGCTTCCCCCTTCTCTGATAAGTATCTTTGGACTTAAGTATACCAGAGTTTCTCTTAGATCAGAATAGAGTCAAGAAACAGGCTGTCACATATGGCTGTCAATTGATTTTTTAAAAAGGTGCCAAGGTAATTCACAGAATAAAGTATAGCCTATAAACAAGTGGTGCTGGAACTATTGGATATTCTTATACACACAAAAAAATGAATCTTGATCCTTCTCATACATACCACACATAATTAGTAATCCAAAAATGGATCACAGACCCAAAATGTAAGAGCTAAAGTATAAAGCTCCTATAAGAAAATACAGGAGGCCAGGCACGGTGGCTCACGCCTGTAATCCTAGCTCTCTGGGAGGCCGAGGCGGGTGGATTGCTCCAGGTCAGGAGTTCGAAACCAGCCTGAGCAAGAGCGAGACCCCGCCTCTACTAGAAATAGAAAGAAATTAATTGGCCAACTAATATATATAGAAAAAAATTAGCCGGGCATGGTGGCACATGCCTGTAATCCCAGCTACTCGGGAGGCCGAGGCAGGAGGATTGCTTGAGCCCAGGAGTTTGAGGTTGCTGTGAGCTAGGCTGACGCCATGGCACTCACTCTAGCCTGGGCAACAAAGCGAGACTCTGTCTCAAAAAAAGAAGAAAAAAAGAAAATACAGGAATCCTAGCTAACCAAATCCAAGTGCTTATCAAGAAAATAATCCATCTCAACCAAGGAGCTTCATCCCAGGGATGCAGGGATGGCTTAACATATACAATCTATAAATGTAATTCACCACATAAACAGAATCAAAAACAAAGACCATATTATCCTCTCAATAGACACAGAAAAAACATTTGACAAAATTCAACACCCTTTTATGATAAGAATGCTTAACAAAATAGGCATAGACTTGGCTTACCTAAAAATGATACAAGCCATATATGACAAACCCACAGCCAATATCATACTGAATGAGGAAAAGTTGAAAGCATTCCCACTTAGACCTGGAACAAGGCAAGGTTGCCCACTATCTTCACTTCTATTCTATTCAGACAAGGGAGCAGAATTAAGGGCGTCTAAATGGGGCCAAAGAGATCAAACTCTCACTCTTTGCTGATGATATATTATCTAGAAAATCCCAAGGATTCTACCAAGAAATTCCTTGAATTGATAAATGAATTCAGTAAAGTCTCAGGATACAAAATCAATACACAGAGATCAGAGGAATTCATATATGCCAATAACAGTTCAAAGTGAGAACCAAATCAAAGACTCAATTCCCTTCAAAATAGCAACAAAGAAAATAAAGTACCTAGGAATATATTTAAGGAGGTAAAAGACCTCTACAGGGAGAACTATGAAACAGTGAGGAAGGAAACAGCAGAGGACGTAAACAGGTGGGAGACCATACCATGCTCGTGGGTCGGCGGAATCAACATTGTTCAAATTTCTGTACTACCCAAAGTGATCTACAGAGTCAATGCAATCCCTATTAAAATACCATCATCATTTTTCACAGATATAGAAAAAATAATTTTACGTTTCATATGGAACCAGAGAAGACCCTATATAGCAAAAGCAATCCTAGGCAATAAAATCAAAATGGGAGGTATCAATTTACCAGACTTCAAACTATACTACAAGGCTATAGTAATTAAAACAGCTTAGGATTGGCACAAGAACAGGGACATTGACCAGTGGAACAGAACAAAGAACCCAGATATAAAACCATACTCATATAGCCATCTAATCTTTGATAAAGCAGACTAAACATACACTGGGGAAAAGAATCCTTATTCAATAAATGGTGCTGGGAAAACTGGATAGCCATATGTAGAACACTGAAACAGGATCCATATCTTTCACCTCTCACAAAAATCAACTCATGCTGGGTAACAGATTTAACCCTAACCCTAACCTGAAACTATTAGAATTCTAGAGGAAAACGTTGGAAATACTCTTCTAGACATTGGCCTAGGCAAAGAATTTATGAAGAAGACCCCAAAGGCAATCACAGCAACAACAAAAATAAATGGGACCTGATCAAATTATAAAGCTTCTGCACAGCTTTATATATAAACTTTCAGTTTATATATAAACTTTCTTTGTAAGAAAGAAATTGTCACAAGAGCAAACAGACAACCTACAGAATGGGAGAAAATTTTCGCAAGCTACATATCCGTTAAAGGGCTAATAACTAGAATCTATTGAGAACTCAGGAAAATCAGCAAGGAAAAATCAAATAACCCTATCAAAAAGTGGGCAAAGGACATGAACAGAAACTTTCCAAAAGAAGACAGAATAATGGCCAACAAACACATGAAAAAATGCTCAACATCTCTAATCTTCAGGGAAATGCAAATCAAAACCACAATGAGATATCACTTTTATCTCCAGTGAGAATGGCCTTTATCAAAAAGTCCCAAAACAATAAATGTTGGCGTGGATGCGAAGAGATAGGAATACTGCTACATTGCTGGTGGGACTGCAAATTAGTTCAACTTCTTTGGCAATATGGGAGATACTTTAAAGTGATACAAGTAGATCTACCATTTGATCCAGCAATCCCATTACTGGGCATCTACCCAGAAGAACAAAAGACACTCTATAAAAAAGACACCTGCACTCAAATGTTTATAGCAGCACAATTCACAATTGCAAAGATGTGGAAACAATCCAAGTGCCCATCAATACATGAGTGGATTAATGTGGTATATGTATATCATAGAGTACTATTCAGCTATAAGAAACAACAGTGATATAACACCTCCTGTATTTTCTTGGATAGAGCTGGAACCCATTCTACTAAGTGAAGTATCCCAAGAATGGAAAAATAAGCACCATATGTACTCACCAGCAAATTAGTATTAACGGATCAACACCTAAGTGGACATATAGGAATAACATTTATCGGGTGTCAGGCAGATGAGGGGGAGGGGGGGTGGGTATATACATTACATAATGAGTGCGATGTGCACCATCTGGGGTATGGACACGCTTGAAGCTTTGACTCCGGGGGGAAGGGAGGAAAGGCAACACATGTAACCTAAACATTTGTACCCCCATAATATGCTGAAATAAAAAAAGAAACAGAAAAAGAAAATACAGGAGAACTTCTTTGTGCCCTTGAGTTAGGTAAAGATTAGGACACAAAAAGCATGAACCATAACAGAGAACATTAATAAATTAAAATTTTAGACTTTTGCTCTTCAAAAATACACCATTAAAACAGTGAAAAGGCAAGACAGAGTAGGAGAAAATATTTGCTAAATATATGTCTGATATAAGGACTTATATCTAGAATATATAAGGAACTGTTACAACTGGAGACTAAACAGACAAATTTGAATAGACACATCATAGAAATACACAAATGACAACTACATGAAAAGATGTTCAAAGCATCAATCATTAGGGAAATGTAAATTTAAACCACAATGAGATACCACCACATACTATTTAGAAATGGCTACATTTAACAAGAATGACAAAACTAAAGATTGGCAGCATGTGATCAAATTGGAATCTTCATATATTGCTGGTGTGAATATAAAATGATACGGCCATTTTGGAGTTTGATGGTTTCTTTAAAAACTAACATATACTTACCATATGATCTAACAGTTCTAGAGAAATAAAATCATGTCCACATAAAGGTTCACAAAATTATTCATAATAGCCAGAAACTGGAAACAATCCAAATGTCCATCAGTTGGTGAATGGATAAACAAAATGTGGTATGTCCATTAACTGACTACTCAGCAATAAAAATGAATTATTGATAACATGCAATATATGGAATCATCTCAAAAACATGCTAAGTGAAAAGAAGTCAGATATTTAAAAGCCTACATTGGATGATTCTGTTTATGTCAGATTTCTAGAAAAGGCAAAATAGTAGCAACAGAAAGATCAGTAGTTGGCTGGGGTCTGGGGTGGGAACCAGGATTGACTGCATAGGGGTACTAGGGGGATGGACGTGTTCAAAACTGGGTTGTGCAACTGTACAAATTTACTATTATAAACTACACAGCTAAAGTAGGTGAATCATATGGCATGTAAAGTTGTTAAAAACATGAAAAAAACAAGGTAACATGAACACTCCTCCCTTCCTTCCTACAGCGCTAGCACCCAGAATGGCTTGTACACAGGAATTCCACTGTCACGTTTTAGTGAGTTTACTTTTTCTCTGAAGGTGCTCAGGTCCTTGAGGGTAGGGCTCTGCCCTCCCTTATACAGGAGCATCCTGCATTTTTCTTTGGAGGCAGTTTTTAAAGTTCTGAAAGATGATCATTTTTATCTTACTTTAAACAAGCACATTTTTAACACTATGTTTTTAGGCAGAACTGAAGTTAACTTTTTCAATGATTTTGTTTTGATTAGGTTTTCAACCAGATGAAGAAATGAGTGAAATCTTCAAGACTGAATTTCAAATGCGATTGCTATGGGGCAGCAAAGGTGCACAAGTCAATCAGACAGAGAGATATGAGAAGTTCAACCAGATTTTAACTGCACTCTCACGTAAACTGGAACCTCCTCCTGTAAAGCAGGCAGAGCTTTGATGACTCTCCAGAGAAACTTAGGATATTATTTCAAGCGCCTCCAGTTTCTTCTTTGGGAAACTTATTTGATAAAGTAATAACGTGCAAACTGACAATATACAAGCTTTTAGTATCCACAGGATATTAAACGTGTAAATTGCACAGAGCACACTTATTTATGGATTGTTTAAAATTACTACTGATTTTTAAATGAATGATAATTTATTATTAAGGTAACAGTTGCTAATGTTGATCAGCTAATTTAAGAGAAGACCTAGCTGTGTTGGCTGGTTGCTTTCTATTTTGGCATTTGACCATTTTAGTTTTAATTCCATGTCAGATAAGTATAAATAGAAGAGTTTAAAAGAAAAGCATGAAACATTTCAGAAGGTATCAGTTGTATGATATTCTTTAAATAAACACGAAAAATGTAAATAGTCATGAATGAAAATATATCTTTTTGTGAAACAGTTGTAGCCAGTCTCTTTAATATAAAAGTCATTGAAGTACAATAATTCTACCTCCTATGGCACTCTCTTCCCTGGCCACTGCTCTATCCTGATAGTCAACCAAAATGAATGAAAGTGGTATGAAAAGGTTTCTAGTTTAGGAGACAGAATGGTGATACAAGATAGTCATGGCTCCAGAGGAACTGGGATTCAACTCAAGCTATGGAGCATGCCAGCAGTTGGACTTGGACCAAGTTCCCCCCATTGAGTCCCATGTACAGCACAGCACCTTGTACAAAACTGAGCACCCAGATGTTAGTTACTATTCTATTTGACATCTCTTCCTGTATTTCAAATTAATCACCTGTCTTCTAGCTGATAAGTATAACAACGAGCTTTCTAGGTTTGTTTTGTAGGTTTCCGACTTTCCAAAGGGGATACTTCCTAGTTTATTGATATCCTCCTCAATTTTTTCCTCTTATGGAAAATGTTGAATACAAGACTTTAAAATAAAATATTCTATCACCTGCCACCAACTACCAAACACTTAACAATTTGTTTATTCTTTTAAATATTAATATTGGGACCATCCCAAATTTTATATCCATCTTTTCTCAAACAGGCTGTAAAAGTTTCTCCACAATGTTAAACAGCCTTTGAAAAAATATGACTTATTGGTTATAGAAGTCCCACTATAACCTAACCATCACCCTATTGTCATCTTAAATATGTCTACTGGAACTAAGTATTAGATTCTCACTGTGGTCTGTTTAATACAACACAAATATATTTGTTGAGAAGAACCAAAGCACACTTCTACTTCTCGCAATATAGTGGTTCAGATCCTCATAGAAAACCCTCTCACTATAAATAAATCCTGAACAAATTTTAATAAACATACCTTTTAATGCACAATCTTAATAGAATGAAAGGAGGGAAATCCCCCCCCCCCACAAAGGTACAGCAAATTTAAATCAACTCTGTGTGAGAACTTAGAAACCTGGGTAGACCTAGAGACAAATCTAATATCAGCTCATGAATGAGAGACTATGCTGTCTTAGGAGAGCTGAATGTGAAATGCCTCTCTCTATTAAGCAGGAACCCTCAAGGCAGGCGTCCTCAAACTACGGCCCTCGGGTGTTTTTGCCCATTTGTTTTTTACTTCAAAATAAGATAATGTGCAGTGTGCATTGGAATTTGTTCATTTTTTTTTAAAACTATAGTCTGGCCCTCCAACGGTCTGAGGGACAGTGAACTGGTCCCCTGTTTAAAAAGTTTGAGGCCCCCTGCCTTAATGGGTTCCTGAGAACAGGCAGGAAAAAAAAATCTATCTGCCAGCAAATGGAGGTTGCCAGGAAACATGCCTGTCTTCACATACAGCACCAGGAAGGAAATAAATGTAATGATGATAGTCTTTGGTGAGGATCTGCAGCCACAAGTCTGTCCTCACATAGATCTGGAGTAAAATTTATAAAACCCCAAACCAAGAAAATGATTTACAGTCATCCCAAGTTGGTGGTTCCTACCAGACATAAAAGCTCATTATTAAGCTACAGTAATTAAGCTGTCATTAGAAATTTAATATATGTCTCAGTGAGTCAGGCTGTAAAAGAAAAAAAAAAAGAAATTTAATATATAACAGTGATACTGCTGATCGTGGGAGAAAGGATGACTTTTTAAAATAAATAATTCTTGAACATTTGGTTAAGCAAATGAAAGAAAAAAATGGTTCTTTACTTTGTATCATACACCAAAATAAAATCTAAATGAATTAAGAACCTATATGGGTGAACGGGCAAAACTCAACACTTTTAGAAGAAAAAACAGAATACCTTTTTTTCTTTGAATCAATTAAGAATTTCTTAAACTAGATAGAAAAAGTGCTAATTATGAAATAATTAATCTACATTAAAATGAACTTCTATTCATCAAAAAACAACATAGAGAAAGTGAAAAATCAGAGATATTAGCAACATGTAAAACTGACAAAGGATTAGTATGGCAGGCAACTTCCAAGATGGCCGCCAATGTTCCCTGCCTCCTGCTGCTCACATTCATGTTGTCCCTTCCCACATTGTACCAGGGTTGGTCTGCAACCAAGAGCACAGGGAGAAGTATTGGTATGTTACATACGTCATGTGTGACATTAAGTTATAAAAAGACTGCAGCTTGCACCTTGAGTCCTGGGGGAAGCAGGATGCCACCTGTGAGCACCCTAAGGGAGAGGTCCACATGCCAAGGAACTGAAGCCGCTGGCCAACAGCAAGGAACTGGGGCTTGCCAACAGCCACTTGAATGATCTTGGAATGGACTCTCCAGCCCCAGACAGAGCCTTGAGATGAATGCAACCTCACAAGAAACTCTGAACCAGTATCAGCCTGCTGTATTACACAGTAAGATATAACTAACACCATTAGCAACACATTCGCAAGAATTCCCATGAATTAAAATGGAAAAACAAACCAAAAAAGAAAATGAAGATGAAAAAAAGGCTTTCCAAAAGAAGGAAAAACATACAGTAAACATGAAAAGAGGCTCAACACAAATTAAGACTACAATGAAATGCTTTTATTATATAATCTTTGAACTGACAAAGATTGAAGTCTGACTCCTGAGTGTTGGCTAGGATATGGAACATGAGTAAACCTTATACAATGCTTGTAGGTATAAAAATATTACAATAATTTTGGGAGGAAAATGTGGCATTATCTTTTAAAATTGAAAATTAATATAACTCATAACCTACCAACTCCACTCCTAGGTATAGACATTAGAGAAACACTCATTATCAGTAAATATGCACATGGATGTGCATAAGCAGCATTGTTTTTACCTGCAAAACTCAGGAAATAATCCATCAAGAGGATGAGTAAATTCTATATTTAATGGACTATTACACACAGCAAAATGAACTATGCATAGACATGGATAAAGCTTAGAAACAACGTTGAATGAAAAAGTAATCAAAACACAATGGAACATTCAAAATGTTTCATTAAGTAGAATGTTACTAAATATATATAAATCAATGTACAAATGAATAAGTAAAATTCCTTTTATTCTTTAAACTATGCAATAAAAACGTATCAAGTGATAAAAGCACAAAGCATTTATCAATTACTAATAATTTCCAAATCATTTGTTTAAACAAATAAGTTGGTATAACTTTTGTTAGGTATGGCCTGTCACCAGGTAAATGATGCCCCTGTATTCAATACAGAGAACTGCAAACTCTTCCAGTGATTTCCCCCTTCAATACATAGTTATTAGCTTACTAATGTGCTGTCTGGCACCTGAAGAGAGTACACATGCAGCTGATCCCCATCTCACCTCTTAGCCTCATCAGACAACACTGCACCATCTGGGTGCTGGCTACATGCCAAGACTAGTGGCAGGCACTCCCAGCCACAGACAAGAGTGGAGAAAGGGAGGGAGATGGGTGAGGATTGCTGATCTTAGTTTGCCAGAACTGGGAGCAAGCTTGTGGTTTTTGTCTGTCTCATTCCACACCCAGACTGTGTCCCCCACACTGGCCAATAAGGAAACCACCACTGACTGGCTGGATGCCAGTTATGATGCAGGACAAGGCAGAAGGGGAAGGAGGAGAGAACAGAAACACTAGACACGTTTGCCAGGGCTTCTGCTTGCCCTGAGTCAAAGTGGCGTGGTCTGCGCAGCTAAGTGAGGGGAAAGGTGGACTTGTGGAGGTGAAGAGGACAGACTAATGTGATACTCCTGTCTAGAGACCACCCAAGGGAAGGGAGAGAACATAGCAAGAGTTGTGCTATCACTTGCAGAACATTCTCTTCTGGGTAAAGTACCTCTCCTCACACTTCTTCAAATACACAGGCAGACCACTCTCCACCACAGAATAAATTACCCCCCAAAAAGCAAACCTTGGGGCCAAGATGCAGTGGCTCATACCTCTAATCCCAGCACTTTGGGAGGCCAAGGTGGGAGGATTGCTTGAGGCTGGGAGGTCAAAATCAGCCTGGGCAACATAGTGAGACCTTATCTCTACAAAAAATAAAAATAAATTACCTGGGCCTGGTGGTGTGCGCCTGTAGTCTAAGCTACTCAGGAGGCTGAGGCAGGAGGATCACTTGAGCCCAAGAGTTTGAGGCTGCAGGGAGCTATGATCAAACCACTGCACTCCAGGTTGGGTAACAGAGCAAGACCCTGTCTCTTAAAAAAAAAAAAAAAAAAATTGAAGACCATGGAAGGGCCCAGGGCCCTGCTCCCTTCCAGTCTCCACAGCTGCTTCCAGAGCCCAGACCTGGCTTTGTCCCCCTTGAGCAGGGTGAGGCATTTCTCGAGGGAGACACAGTGTGTCTCCCTCAGCTTGATTGCCAGGGTCCTCTCCCACCCAAGAAGTTATGAAACCACAGGATTCACCAACACCCGAAATAAATAACAGCAAATCCACAGCAAGCCCTTCTTTAAGCTTTGTCCCCAATGCTCACACCAGAAATGCATTTGTATCAGAGTGGTTTCTGAGATAAACAACATGTACTGGAACTTATATGATTAACTTTTTGTTTTTTTAACTACTTTTCCTAGTTATTACTTACCAACCACTATGGAAACATTTCAATATTTAGCATTCACTATGGTTACACATCAGAATATCAGCCCCACACTCCTATAAAGCATCTTTACAGACACCATTCTTACAGAGCTCAAAACCAAGGAAGGTAGGTTTAGGAAAAAATACTCGTGCTAAAACTATACAGAAAAACAATAAACCCAAGATTCAAGATAACAGTTGCCTTTAGAGAAGGAGACGGTAACTTTCTATTTGTTTAGTTGGGTGATATATTTTATTATGGTTGATAACAAACATACACATATTCTCCACAAGACACTCTTCACGGAGGAGATTCCAGGTTTACCAAATCAGCTTGTCACAAGCCCTATTCTACAACAATGCTGTCGCCATCTTACAAAAATGAGAAATCTTGTCAAATTGATATTGTGCAGAAAACAAGACATTAACTATATCTTAGAATTCCCCATTTGTA